ATACTCTCTTCAGAACTCTATGCCATCTTTAAAGCCATCATATTTGCGGAGGAAAATATTGAAGGACCGATTTTGATCGTCTCTAACTTTCTATCGGCCCTATCTAGAATTTCAAATTGCTTTGCATACAAAGAAAACCCATATCTTGTATATAGTATTCTGTCCCTCATAAATTCGATACAAACATCAGCGGATGAAAATCGAGTAAGCTTTTTATGGGTTCCGGCTCATTCGGGTCTATTCGGCAGTGACAGAGCAGACGCGATTGCTAAAATGACCAACTCTCGCCTGAACAGAATACACTTTCCTCTTCCTTCTCAGGACTGTAAGTCTGAGATACTGGATCCGGATGGTGAAGCATGGCTAACCAGTCTGTGGCCATATGTGAGCCCCGCCCAACAACAAACAAGATACTTTGCCAGAATACATTGTGATTCTCCTAGACCTTGGTTTGGGAGTGTAAACCTCCCAAGAAGACAAATAAATTTGATCACCAGACTTAGAACAGGTCATATCTGTACCGCGGAACACTTATCAAGATTCCTCATGGACGTGGCTCTGGGCTGTTCATGCGGTTCGGACTGGCGAGACTTAAACCATATTTTGTTCGATTGTCCTAATTTGGACTCAAGCAGACCGAGATTTCTTGAATTTTTGAGCACACGTTTTCCCGAACTGAACCCTAGGGACGCTCCACTTGATGTACCGATTTTTTTCCCTGACATGGAACTTGCGAGAGAATTCGGCAGGCACATTGGAACGGGAGGATCGTGATATGAGTGATGTCTCGAACCCGGGTCGTTCTTGGGCCTATTCATGTAAGTGATTCTACTGTAGGAATCAGTCACTATGAAGTTCATATTCATGTATGGCATGACCTGAGCAACGGCGGGGAATCTGGGCCTCTGTTCTGTTTTTGCGTTTCCCCGCAGAAATGACTGCCCAAGTTTCTCGCTGATGTGATAGTGTCCCTGAGTGTTGCTCCACAGGCTTGCGAATGGATTCTTAGCTCTGCGCGCGTATCAAAGTAATTGACGCACTATTAACTTCAACTTAAAGAAAGCTAGAGAGGGGGAGAAAGTTGATCACAGGTGTGCGAGTTGATTTGGACCATAAGTTGGAGCTTAATTTAAGCTTTGATTGGGTGTAAACAATATTCGCATGTAGTCGACACGTGTATTAATTTTCTTTCCTCTTCTCAAGACTTTAATTGGACAGATCGACTCACTTAATTATTTGAGACGTTTTGCCTCGCGCGATGCTTTGAACACAACCTTCCGCTCCCTCTCTAACCCTTTCCAACTCAATACCACACAAAGAGCAAAGTACTAGACGCGGACCCAGAGCTGCTATGACTCAACCCTGATGAATCCTCTCGTTACCTGGAGATTCTATCACGTCGACTGATGTAATATTTGGTTTATCAACTTTCTGACTAAAACTCTTCTTCACTCGTTTGTTTGTTCTGACAGTTGGCATCGCCTCAAGTCATTTAAGAAGAAGAAGAAGTAATAATAAGGAGACTCAACTATAATGATGTATATTATCGGAATCCGGCTAGGGTGACCGAACCATAAGTGATCTTATGCGGGATCTCATACAGGAATTTACAATAGGGTACTGTACGAAATTGTTCAGGCAATGTTACTGGAAACTATATAGTTTCCTACGTAGGATCCTACAAAGGATGTCACAACAAATGAAAATTAAAAAAATTTTGATTATTTTTTTTATTCATGTCATTGTTGCCTTGCTTGTTTTTCGATTTCTAGTATTCTGGAGAAATATTTTAAAATAAATTTGGAGGGACTGGGGATTGAACCCGGGTTCGACGCGCGCTAGCTAAAGACCCTACACACTAACCTAACCACCGACTGCCGAGAAAAGGAAAAATCTTCCTCACACTCTGCAACCTAAAGTTTCTACTTACAGAGTGTGAGGAAGATTTTTGTTTTCCTCCGCAGTCGGTAGTTTTGTTAGTGTATAGGGTCTTTAGCTAACGCGCATCGAACCCGGTTTCAATCCCCAGTACCTCCATTTTCAAATATTTCTCCAGAATACTAGAAATCGAAAAACAAGCAAGGCACAGTGGCCGATTTCCCGAAAAACCTGGCCAAAAATCGAAAAATGATACGATTTCAATCAAAATTGGTATACCCATGTTTTTTGGGCTTCTGAATTCAAATTTTACATTGGTTGTGTCAAATTCAAAATGGCGGATCCAAAGTGGCCGTTTAGATTTTAAAAAACTTTGCTGAAAATCGAAAAATGAAACGGTTTCAATCAAAATTGGTATACCCATGTTTTTTGGGCTTCTGAATTCAAATTTTACATTGGTTGTGTCAAATTCAAAATGGCGGATCCAAAATGGCCGTTTAGATTTTAAAAAACTTTGCTGAAAATCGAAAAATGATACGGTTTCAATCAAAATTGGTATACCCATGTTTTTTGGGCTTCTGAATTCAAATTTTACATTGGTTGTGTCAAATTCAAAATAGCGGATCCAAAATGGCCATTTAGATTTTAAAAAACTTTGCTAAAAATTAAAAAATGGTACGATTTTAACCAAACTTAGTATACTTACGTTTACTGGGTTTCTGAAATCAAATTTTACATTTGTTTTATCAAATTCAATATGGCGGATCCAAAATATTTGCTGGTATTATAAAATTGCGTATATGTGTTAGAGTTTATTTTTTTTAAATTACAGAATTTTAGTTTAAAGCGAATGCGAATGAAGAAAAAGTCAGTCTTTCACGTTCAGTTGCACCGCCGGCCGGTGCAACGCGCTGTCGGTAAACCGCGCTGGGTGAAATAAAAAGTGATACCAAAACTGCAGGGGCAGCTTGGGGCAGCTGATTTCAATTAAAATGAATCAAAAATATATTCTAGTTTATGATAATACCAGGTAGGGCGCGGATATCGGTGGATTTCACAACTATTTTCATGATTTACGTTGATAAAACAATACAAAAATCGTAGCCATGAATAGCGATGTTTAATGTCATTTTTTAAAAACTGTACGTTTTAAATGTGATGATAAATACATTCAACCTATTTCATACACCTTTGTTAATAATTCCCAAAAAAAGATATTCAAAAATCTGCTGTATATTAGTATATTTTCACTATTTTAACTGTGACGAAAATTTATAGTTATGAAACGTTCTGAGTAAATCTCTGGCAAAGATCACTTTTACTTGTTCACATAATAAATTGGTGATAAAAAAAGTGTAATTTTTTTCGCAAAATTATGCAGTGAACCCTCCTTTATAATATTCAATAATAAAAAGTATAAATTTCTAAAAAAAATTTTTTGACTTTTGGCCAGGTTTTTCGGGAAATCGGCCACTGTGCAAGGCAACAATGACATAATTAAAAAAAATAATCAAAACTTAATCACTTTTTTTATTTCTTGTGACATCCTTTGTAGGGTCCTACGTAGGAAACTATATAGAAAACTATAAAGTTTCCTGTAACATTGCCTGAACCAAATACTTAAAAACAATTTTACAATTGGTCAATTGGATTGAAATGTGTCGGTTTTAATTTTCTCCTTGCGAAAAAATTTACATATTATTAACTTCTGACATATTTGCTATATTTCTTGCTTCGTTCGTTGTCAGAAATGTTGTTTCTGTATTAGAAGTTGAAGCAGTGTTGACAACATTGACATGTGCGTTTTTATTCGTTGACGGCAGAGCAATTGATGCGAATTTTTCTCCTGTTTTCTTCTTAAATGACATATGGAATCCTCAATGCCTTTCGCGACTTTGTCGCTATTCCAGCCTCCCACGTGAAAAAGTTCCCGGGAGTTGATTCCCGGGAATTTCTCAGAAAAAATTCCCGCAAACTTGTTAACTCTTACGTGAAGCATTGTAGGTGTCTCTGAAACAAAAAACTTTTGTTTAAGGCGTAAAAAATTTTTGTAAGTATTTAAAAAGTTTCATTTAACACTAGGAAGTACCCAGAAGCATATTTAAAGTTTAGGTTAATCATATTTTGCATGTTAATTACTTATAGGAACCTATTCAAGGTTTCAGTCTGAGATCCAGGAAATTAATCGACATTTTCCAATGTATTAAACTGAAAAAAAATCAATAGTTGATTACTAGGATCTCTCCAGGTACTTCTCTAAAAGTTAGTTAAATTTCGATAACTTCTTCGAGGAAGAAAACCCTAAAATATGAAAGACGATCGCTACAAGAGATTTCCAGGTACCTATGATTACTCAGGGTAATTTTTCGTCAACTTCTGGAACAAGTTAACCTTAAAATGGATAAATGATCACTAGGAAGTTTCAAAATATTTTCCTAGTGTTCAGGTCGTTTTCATAAACTTTTTCAGGGAAGTTTATGTTAAACAGCTCAATCGTTTACGAGAAGCAATTATCATATTACCTAAACTCAGTCAAAATCAAATATCTACAATTAACCTTCAAATATTTGCTCCTAGGTCAATTGATTTTTATCAACTGTCTCCGTCAAATTAAATATAAATCAGTTAATTATTTATTCCATGTAATTTCAAACAAAAAGTTTTTATCATAATTAAAATTTTTTCTTCTGATTATTTATTTATCAATTTATATTTATATTTTTAATTCTTGAAAAACAACTAAAATATCTTCAAAAATATCATTGATTTTTAATTTTTATTAAACTTTTATGTACAGACATTTACTAAATTACAGAATAAAACATTTTGATTAATTTTTTTAACTATAAAACATTCTCGAAGTATTAAACATAACATACAAAAATACCAACAAAATTGTCTGAATTTGAAATTTCATAACCTAAACTTTAAATATGCTTCTGGGTACTTCCTAGTGTTAAATGAAACTTTTTAAATACTTACAAAAATTTTTTACGCCTTAAACAAAAGTTTTTTGTTTCAGAGACACCTACAATGCTTCACGTAAGGGTTAACAAGTTTGCAGGAATTTTTTCTGAGAAATTCCCGGGAGTCTCCAGGGAACTTTTTCACGTGGGCTCCATGCCTCTGCAAGCGCCTGTAACTCCGAATATTATGATAACCTAGAACAACAAACTTTTGTATTTCAAAGTTTTATTATTTATTTATTATTTTATTCGTTACGCTTTCTAAATTAAGGTTAATTGATTTATTATATTTATTAAAATTTATTGATCTATTTATTATTAATTTTAATATAAAGTTATTTATTTTACCTTCTTTACTAAATATTGACTGTCTAGAGCTTCTGTCAGAAACTTATTTACCTGTTCGGTAGTAAAAACTTTGGACTTTTTCAGGCAATAACCTTTTAAATATTTCATCAAAAACGCTATAACCTTTTTGAAGAATCCGCTGTCAACATTGTCGTTCAGTTTAACAGTTGTACGCAGCATTGAAAACTGTGACCATAGAGTTGAAGGTTTCCAAATTTTAGATTTTGCACTTAATAATGCAAGGCACACATTTTCTAAAATCGGAATTAAATATAATTATATAAATTTTTCATATTTGAAAAAATATTGTAAATTTTGTAAAGAAACCAAAAGTTGTATAACAAATCAGTTTGAATTATCAAAAGAAATAAATGTTATTTACAATAAATTATTAAAAAGTTATATAAAAGAATGATCAATAGAGGAAAAGTGTAAATTACCTGAAAGTAAATTACAGTTTTTTTGTCTTTCGCCAATCCATAAATAATTTATATGCATTATGTATTATATCTTGCACACCCGACTATTCCGCATTAAGAGCCTCGTTCTGTACTTCAGGTAGAGTTAAATTACACTGGCACACAAAAAAAAATTGATGCTCTGAGCTTTTGACCAGACTATGACTACTTTATGTTTTCGGGGTCGCTGAAACCGAATCTGAAGTCCGTTTAATCCCATCACCCTAGGGTTTTGAAATAACCCCCCAAAAACCCCAATTTTGAGATTTTTTGGGGGTTATTTCAAAACCCTGACGAGATAGGGTTAAATAGACATCATATTCGCATTCAGCGACCTCAAAAACATAAAGTAGTCATGATAAGACTTGGGGATAAAATTTTTTCTTGATTTCAAAAATTTGGGGTCAAATTTTGGTGTTTTTTGAAGTTTTCTCAAAACCCTAGGGTGATGGGGTTAAACGGACTTCAGATTTGGTTTCAGCGACCCCGAAAACATAAAGTAGTCATAGTCTGGTCAAAAGCTCAGAGCATCAATTTTTTTTGTGTGCCAGTGTTATCTATTAAATCACTAATATCGTCATCGATATCAAAGTCCATCTTGTCACAAAAATTAAAACAAAAAACTATAACAAAACTGTCAACACTATTTTTTGTACTAAGCAACACTATGGTCGTTTTCGTGAATTAGTGTGAGCACACTCAGAGTTAAAACAGTTATGTATTTTTACGTGAAAATTACAGGAAAAATATAGCGAACGTGATTCAGATCGATTTACATAACGTTGTCAAGGAAAAATCAAAAATATTGAAAAAGCGTTTAATCCTCTTAGCGCACACACTATTTGACCAAGACAGTTCATATTTGGTATACATGCGTATTTTTGCGTGTAGATTACAGGAAAAATATAGCGAGCTCGATAAGAGTTAATGATCATATTGTTTTTAAGGAAAACTCATATTTTTAGAAAAAATCATGGATTTTTCGAATAAAAAAAGAAGAAAATTTTATCTTAAGGGATTCAAATTTATACATTTTTACGTATTTTCACGTGTTGATTACAAAAAAATATAGCGAAAACAATTGGAGTTGATTATCATAGCGTTATCAATGAAAAACTGATAATTTTCGATCTATGTGATTTCATGCTCCCATTACAGGAAAAATGAAGCAAAATTGGAATTTTTCCATCGGCCTTCACACTTTAACCCCCTTAAATTTTACGTTTAAGGGTACGGAACCCTCAATTTTAATGCGAGTGTAACTCGCACTTGTCCGATTTTTTTTTGATTTTTTTAAATTACAAAGAAAGCTAATCCAGCGTGCAGTCAAATCAGATCACTCAAATCAAAGAAAAGCTAAAAAAATATTACGATTTACTTTCCCCACGCTCGGCCGAGGAGTTAATAAATGTTCAACTTCCCAATACTTTTCTAACTAAGAAAGTTGCACTATTAAAGCAGGCGTTGGAGAAAATACTTTGTTCATCGTCCACGTGTACGGTGTGAGGGATTCGACTATTTTGGATAGCTGTAAATGGTTTGAAAACGAGGTTTTTGCATGCACGTATAAAGAAAAAATTTGTTTTGTGATTGATGTAAACCTTAATAGCACTGATCACTTTCTCAATATTGCCTTCTTGTTTTTTGAAATGATGGTAAGCGATAGAAACTTTTATATCATTTTTTTAACAATTTATCGATAAATTTTCACTCTAAGCGAAGCTAAGCGAAGTTAAGCGATTTCTAAGCGAAATCGCTCAAAATACGCTTGAACCAATCCGCCAGGGCATGTACATTTTTTTGCACCAGATGTGGAACATGTTCTTGTACATGTTCATTTATGTTTTTTAAATTAAAAATTAAAAAACTTTAAAGGCAACGCAGGAGTTTTCTTTAGCCTTTACAGCTGCGCAATAATTTTTAGCATGCATAAGTGAAGAGTATTAATAATTATATCTTATTAAAATTTTAAATTTTTTCAAAAACATTTTTAAACAAATGTTCTTGAACAAGAACATAAATGTGTTCATGTAAAAGTAGTTGTACATGAAACCTGCACAAAAAATATGTACAAGAACATGTTCATTTTCTTGTACAAGTTTTTTCAGACGGGAAACATAGACGAATACTTATATAACTCTATGTATATATAAATTCCGTTTTCATGAACTATAAAATAAGTTTAGTTTTTTTTAAAATCATTTCACTTGTTTCATTTGCTCTTAAACAACGACAAGGTTTATGTGAATCTTGTGAAACGGGACACCCCTTAACTACTTCGGTTTTGTCTATCCACTCATTCAAAGTTAAAAATAAAGTATTTGATATGATTACTTGTTTTACTTTCAGAATGTTATTTATAAAAATAGTTGCACCCATTGAAGCGTAACATGCTGGTGGAATACACATTAATATCATGTCAATGTTACCAAAAACTTTTATCACTCCTGCAATCTAATTTTACTAATGTGTAGAATATATTAAACATAACTGTTATTAAATTTAATATTACCTGAACTACTATAAATGAAAAAATAATAACAAAAAATAAAGATTTAGTCAAAATGTTTATCCACTTGAAATTATATTGATATTGTCCTGTTAGAATTATAACATATCTGATAATGTTGTAATATGGATTCTTTATTATGTCCATTTCTTCTGTATTTGCTCAGTATCAGCAAAAATGTATGTAAGTATTAGTCTCGTTTGCATTCACCCTAAATCCTCCTTCGAATCTATAGTGAGTATTTAAATATTTATGTTTACGCAAAGTACTTTCTAAGAACTGTTAGTCGTACCTATAATTATAATAATTGCCCTTTCTACGATTTATGTGAAATGTGGACAGTATCTGTAATTAAAATAATGATAGAGTGAAAGGTTTAAACTTTGAACAGTAAAAGTTAATCAATAAGGAATAAGCTTTTCTATTTTATATTAAAGACTTGGTTTGCATTTATGATTGTAATACACTATTGCAGTTGAAATTAACAATACCACGAGAATAAAAAAAGTTTTCTGTTTAGCAATATTTTATGAAAAATTTTGCATTTACCTTACTATTAATATTATACTACTCGTATACCTTATTGTTATAGTATTAATTTGGTCTGACTTTTTGTATTGAATCATAATAGTTTTTTAATCTTCTTTATAAATTATAAGTTGAAAATAGTTCTTTTCTTCACCATGTACACACTTGTAAGAATTATACAAAATATTAAATTATTTATTTTCTTCAATTAACCCCAATCATACCCAGTGGGCACCAAGATGCCTTTACAATAAATTTAGAACGTTTTAAAATGTCCTAGGACATTACGACAATGTTCCGAAAACATAAAAATGCGATTTAAACACAGTAAAAACTCGGGATTAAAATGAAATGACCACCACTGGTAGCGGAGAAGTGCCCGGTTGAAAAAACATGTACAGGATCGTGTAAACGATCTTGCGTGTTCATTCACCAGGTCATGTACAAGAGCAGCAAGTGAACATGTAAAAAAAATTGGAACAACGATCTTATACTAGAACATGTACAAGAACATGCACATGTTTATTCATTGTAACTAAAGAAATCAAGTTTACGAATCCATGCTCGTGTACTTGTATAAGATCGTGCGTAAATTCGTGTATATGATCTTCTGTTAACTTTTATAATTTTGAAAAATTGATTGAAATTTTTAACATTGGTCATATGGACTCTTTGTTCATACATGCGAAAAACTACTGCGCAGCCATTAAAAATTTTGATTATAAACTGTAAGGGAAAACTCAAGGTCTTGTACAAACTTCAAGGGCCTGGCGGCACTATTAAATATTAACCGATTTTAAAATATAAAAAGAGGGGGTCTCTTTTTTTCCATTTGGAACCCCAAGCAGCACAGTATATTCCCTGAATATCTCTTGAATACCACAGTGGAATATTCTCATGATCTTCTAGGAAAACAAAATGTCCGCATCATGGAAATATTCCAGTGACATTCAGGGTATATTCCAGTGACATTGAGGGAATATTCCACAGTGGTATTCAAGGGATATACCGTGCTGCTTGGGACAATTCTAGGGATCGGCAGCAAGAAAATTTAAAAAAATTAATTTTCTTGTGTATTTTTGGGGCACCCAAATGAACATATGCAAGATGTGATAATTTAACCATCAAAGAAAAGAAACAATAATCCAACCAACAAAGGTAAGAAGCAATAATTCAACCAGTAAAGGCAAGAAGCAATAATGCAACCAACAAGGGCAAGAAGCAATAATCCAACCATCAAAGGTAAGAAGCAATAATCCAACCAGTAAAAGCAAAAAGCAATAATACAACCAGTAAAGGCGAGATGTGATAATCCAACCAGTAATGGCAAGATGTGATAATCCAACCTTCAAAGGTAAGAAGCAATAATCCTACCAACAAAGGTAAGAAGCAATAATCCAACCAGTACAGGCAAGATGTGATGATCCAACCATCAAAGATAAGAAGCAATAATCCAACAAACAATGGTAAGAAGCAATAATCCAACCAGTAAAGGCGAGATGTGATTATCCAACCAGTAATGGCAAGATGTGATAATCCAACCATCAAAGGAAAGAAACAATAATCCAACTAACAAAGGTAAGAAGCAATAATCCAACCTGTAAAGGTAAGAAGCAATAATACAACCAGTAAAGGAGAGAAGCAATAATCCAACCAGTAAAGGCAAGATGTGATAATCCAACCAACAAAGGCAAGAAACAATAATCCAACAAACAATGGTAAGAAGCAATAATCCAACCAGTAAAGGCAAGATGTGATTATCCAACCAGTAATGGCAAGATGTGATAATCCAACCAACAAAGATAAGAAGCAATAATCCAACCAACAAAGGTAAGAAGCAATAATCCAACCAGTACAGGCAAGATGTGATGATCCAACCATCAAAGATAAGAAGCAATAATCCAACAAATAATGGTAAGAAGCAATAATCCAACCAGTAAAGGCGAGATGTGATTATCCAACCAGTAATGGCAAGATGTGATAATCCAACCATCAAAGGAAAGAAACAATAATCCAACTAACAAAGGTAAGAAGCAATAATCCAACCTGTAAAGGTAAGAAGCAATAATACAACCAGTAAAGAAGAGAAGCAATAATCCAACCAGTAAAGGCAAGATGTGATAATCCAACCAACAAAGGCAAGAAACAATAATCCAACAAACAATGGTAAGAAGCAATAATCCAACCAGTAAAGGCGAGATGTGATTATCCAACCAGTAATGGCAAGATGTGATAATCCAACCATCAAAGATAAGAAGCAATAATCCTACCAGTAAAGGCAAGATGTGATAATCAAACCAACAATGGCAAGAAGAAATAATCCAACCAGTATAGGCAAGATGTGATAATCCAACCATCATAGATAAGAAGCAATAATCCAACCAACAAAGGTAAGAAGCAATAATTTAACCAGTAAATGCAAGATGTGATAATCCAACCAACAATGGCAAGAAGCAAATATCCAACCAGTAATGGCAAGATGTGATAATTTAACCATCAAAGAAAAGAAACAATAATCCAACCAACAAAGGTAAGAAGCAATAATTCAACCAGTAAAGGCAAGAAGCAATAATCCAACCAACAAAGGCAAGAAGCAATAATCCAACCATCAAAGGTAAGAAGCAATAATCCAACCAGTAAAAGCAAAAAGCAATAATACAACCAGTAAAGGCGAGATGTGATAATCCAACCAGTTATGGCAAGATGTGATAATCCAACCTTCAAAGGTAAGAAGCAATAATCCTACCAACAAAGGTAAGAAGCAATAATCCAACCAGTAAAGGCAAGATGTGATAATCCAACCATCAAAGATAAGAAGCAATAATCCAACAAACAATGGTAAGAAGCAATAATCCAACCAGTAAAGGCGAGATGTGATTATCCAACCAGTAATGGCAAGATGTGATAATCCAACCATCAAAGGAAAGAAACAATAATCCAACTAACAAAGGTAAGAAGCAATAATCCAACCTGTAAAGGTAAGAAGCAATAATACAACCAGTAAAGGAGAGAAGCAATAATCCAACCAGTAAAGGCAAGATGTGATAATCCAACCAACAAAGGCAAGAAACAATAATCCAACAAACAATGGTAAGAAGCAATAATCCAACCAGTAAAGGCGAGATGTGATTATCCAACCAGTAATGGCAAGATGTGATAATCCAACCAACAAAGATAAGAAGCAATAATCCAACCAGTAAATTTATTATTATATATTATTATATATTACATTATTTATATTATTATATTACATAAAATATAAATTATATATATATATATATATATATATATATTATATATATAATATAAATAATATATTATATAATAATATATAATTGTAAATTTACAGGTTGGATTATTGCTTTATACCTTATTTGGTTGGTTTATTGTTTCTTTTCTTTTTTGGTTGGATTATCACATCTTGCTATTACTGGTTGGATTATCACATCTTGCCATTACTGGTTGGATTATCACATCTTGCCATTACTGGTTGGATTATTGCTTCTTTCCTTTACTAATTGGATTATTGCTTCTTACAATTGTTGGTTAGATTATTGTTTCTTTCCTTTGATGGTTGGATTATCACATCTTGCCTTTACTGGTTGAATATTTGCTTCTTGCCATTGTTGGTTAAATTATTACATCTTGCCTTTACTGGTTGGATTATTGCTTCTTATCTTTGATGGTTAGATTATCACATCTTGCCTTTCCTGGTTGGATTATTGCTTCTTACCTTTGTTGGTTGGATTATTGCTTCTTACCTATGATGGTTGGATTATCACATCTTGCCTTTACTGGTTGGATTATTGCTTCTTGCCATTGTTGGTTTAATTATCACATCTTGCCTTTACTGGTAGGATTATTGCTTCTTACCTTTGATGGTTGGATTATCACATCTTGCCATTAGTGGTTGGCCTATCACATCTCGCCTTTACTGGTTGGATTATTGCTTCATGCCTTTAATGGTTGGATTATTGCTTCTTACCTTTGATGGTTGGATTATTGCTTCTTGCCTTTGTTGGTTGGATTATTGCTTCTTGCCTATGTTGGTTGGATTATCACATCTCGCCTTTAATCGTTATCTTACCTTTTTTGGTTCGTTTATTATATCTTGTCTTTGTTGGTCGCAGTATTAGATCTTGTCTTTATAATAATGGCTTTATTGAATATGTTGGATCCATTATTTTGAATTTTAAACAACTAACATCGGATTCGTAATCAGCGACACGAAAAACTCCTGTGTTTTAATTTTTAAGCGAACGCAATGAATTTTTTAAAAATTGTCTGCTATTTTGGAGCTGCCATTTTGAATTTTTTAAATTTGACTTCAAATTCGTAATCAGCGACCCCAAAAACCCCCGAGTATTGAGTTTCAAGTAAATTCGATTGAATTTCAATTTTATTGTTCGCCATATTGGATCCGCCATATTGAATTTTTAAATATTGACACCGTATTCGTAATCAACTACCCTACTGATATGAGATTCATAATCGGTGAACCCAAAAACCTCCGACTAACGAGTTGTAAGCAAATCCGATTAATTTTTGATTTTATCGTCCGCCATATTGGATCCGCCATTTTGAATTTTTAAAATCTGACTTCGGATTCGTAATCAGCGACCTCGAAAACCCCCGAGTAATATGTTTCAAGCAAATCTAGTAAATTCCGTATGAAATACTGCTTTTCATCCCTTAAATTGAAAAAGGGTGTTTTCTACCCTTGAAACTCAAAACGGGCCGATATAAAAAAATACGTGTTCAATATTTTTCCATGTTTTAGAAGTGTGCCAAGTTTCATCAAAATCGGTGATTAACAGTTGGGTAGTGTTACTTGTTAGTTGGTACTGAGATCTCAGTTCCAATTTCCAGTCCAGTACTCGTGGACTCAAGATCTTCACTGAATTTAATTAAACAATCCCACATACCAGACACCGTGGAGAAAGAAACAAGCAAAAAGGAATTTAGAATGGACCGGACGATTTTCCAATGCCCGAGGATGGGATACTCGGAATGAGATTTTTACAAACGTACAATTACAGCCTCACTAACACAAGTTTGACACTCGACCAGAAAGAGCACGCATTACATGAAGATGGAATATTGTTATCACCAAATCAAATAACATTAGTTACAATCCCAATTGACAAACCAGGAATAAACGTGGCAATATTCGATAACCCTCATATCCCAGATTCTATTTACCCGATCCGAGACCAAACTATTACTATTCCAATTTGTAATGAATCACAAGAATTTAAGCAGATTAATTTAGATGAAATAAATTACAAGCATAATAAATCTAACATTTTTGAGGAAAGTATTTGCTACATCACCTCTGAGAATTTTGCGGAACGAATTAAGCTTCTCAGGGACAACACGCGTTTAGGACACATCGAAAAAGACTTTAAAGAAAATTTAATTAAAATCATTGAATCACAACACGACATCTTCAGGTTACCAGGAGATCTTTTAGCAGGCACACATCTTACTAAGCATAAAATCGTTCTAAAGGAAGATAAGATTATCAATCACATATCTTACAGACCACCAGAATGCCATAACAAGGAAATCAATACACAGACCGGGGATATGTTAAAACAAAAAATTATACGTCATTTAAAATCTTCTTACAACTCACCGACATGGGTAGTTCCCAAAAAAGGAGACGCGTCAGGAATAAAGAAGTGGAGAATTGTAATTGATTTTCGGAAAATCAATGAAATTACAGATCAAGACTCTTATCCAATGCCAGTGATGGAAGATATACTCGACAGCTTGGGCAAAGCTAAATTTTTCTCAGCCTTTGACCTTAGCTCTGGTTTCCACCAAGTTTTCATGGACGAAGAATCCAGAAAATATACAGCATTTTCCACACCTGAAGGAAATTTCGAATTCGAAAGAATGCCCTTCGGATTAAAAAACTCTCCAGCTACGTTCCAAAGAATGATTAACGACGCTTTGACAGGTCTAATATACAAAATATGCATGGTATATTTAGACGACATCGTATTATTCGGCTCGACGATAGAGGAACATAACAGAAATGTTATAACACTCTTCGAAAGACTACGACAAACAGCCTTTAAATTACAACTCGATAAATGTAAATTTTTAAGGCCTGAATTAGAATACCTAGGACACCTTATAACACCGGAAGGGGTTAAGCCTAACGCACACAAAACCAAAGCAGTTCAAGAATTTCCAGTACCAAAAAACGTTACTCATGTTAGATCATTTTTAGGGTTATCTGAGTATTATAGGAAATTCATAAATAATTACTCTACCATCGCAAAACCACTCACAGAACTCACTAAAATCAAGACAAAATTTTGTTGGACTTCAGAATGTCAAGAATCTTTTGATAAATTAAAATTAGAACAATGCAGCGCCCCCGTGTTAAGATATCCAGATTTTGAAAAAGAATCCGTGCTAACAACAGACGCTTCCAATGACGGCCTAGGAGGCATCTTGTCTCAAGAAGGTCATCCGTGTTATTATACCTCTCTAACCCTTAACGCTCCAGAACTGAATTACACCACCACGGAGAAAGAGTTACTCGCGATAGTAAGGGCAACTAAAAGACTGCGTCAATATCTGTTAGGACGGAAATTCAAGATTTTAACTGATCATCAAGCTTTAAAATGACTTTTTAACGTCAAAGACCCCGCCTCAAAATTAATGAGATGGAGATTAAAAATGGAAGAGTATGATTACATAGTGGAATACAAAAAAGGTTCCGAAAACACCGCAGCGGATGCAGTTTCGCGCGTACACATAACACGGGTAAATACAGGCGAATCACAATCACAACAAGCCGGTTTCGATCTAGAATTTGACTTAGAATCAGAATAATTACTTTTTTCTATAAATTAATTAATAACAGTTAATGTAAATAGTGCTTAATAAAGAGACAAAATAAGAAAATTAATTAATAACAATAAGTGCAATAATAAATGAAAGAAAATGAGAATAAATAAACTAAATCCTCATTTTAAAGCTAAGACAAAATTATTTATTCACGAATATTAATGGATTAATATTAAAAATTAACGATTAAATTTCCTTGAATTTTTAGCGCATACACGCTTTTTGAAATTAGTGGTACACTTATCCCTGGAAACCTATGATACTTTGTTATTCATTGAATTTAATCGGATAAGTTGACTTTTTATATTAATAGACCTAACCTTAAAAAGTGTAAAAAGATTTTAGCATATTATCTCGTGGTATTCTCGCCGCGTTATTTTATGTAAAATTATGCTTGTGGGCAGAAGTGGGCCACTGCATTCACGTACTGTTTCGACAATTAGTGTTTTTGTAAGTAGTTTTTTAAAAATTAATTTCAATGTTTTATGTGATTATGCCACCAAAAAAAGATAAATGGGCTGGCTATGAGTCCATCAACTTCGATAAATTGCTTGTTACTGTAAAACAACAAAAAATCAAAAAAAATTTCGGAACGCGCTGCTTGTATTACTGCTGGTATAAGCCGATCAAGTTTTCAACAGCCATTTATTGGAAAAATTAATCATTTAACATGACAATCATAATTCTTGATACTGATACTTATTTTAGATGAAAAACTTGAGTAACCCACTTCTGTCCACAAAATCGTGAAATCGCGAATTTCTTTTTTTTTACATAATGATGTAAAACAATATGTCAAAATTTTTAATTTTTAACTTTATGCTTGCAAAAGGTTAGATAATTCCTTTCTCTACAAATAGACGCAAAAAATTTTCCAAATTATAATTTTTTAAACATTCTACACGGAGAGAAAAATCAAGCGTTTGTAGTATGGTAGCCCTCTATGTTAATTTTGTATAGACTTTCCTGTTTAAGAGGCGTGGCCTTATACTACAGTTGCATAAAACTATACTGAAAAAGCATAACTTCGTGCAATCGTAGTATGCTGATGTCTCATGCGTTTAAATAGGTAGAACTTTTATGCTACAAACGCTTTATTTTTCTCTCCGTGTATAGTCTAAAATCCAAAGTGAGGCCCACTTCTGTCGGTACTACTCTACTTTCTGGTATGGTAAATTTCTGTCAACTTAAGATTCTATTAAATTACCTTTCTGCTAAATTAAAATTCTATGAAAAAACGTTTCGCACAAATTAAATTTCGATCAAATTGTTTTTCTGACAAATTAAAATTCGAAGAAATTGACTTTCTGGCAAATTAAAATTTGATCAAATTGGAATTCTGCCAAATTAATATTCGGTCAAATTAACTTTATGGGAAATTAATATTCGAACATTACATTACTTTTTTTGGTGTACTTTACTTACTTACGAGTTAGTTATTCAATCCATCTAAAAATATAAGTTAATACAAAACACAAGGTATTAAAATAACAAGGCATTAATATATATCAAAAATATTTTATTGTTTTTTCTGAAATAAAAGATTTAATTGTTTAAAAATATTCTAAAGAAAGTATTAAATTTCAAAAAATCTCATACACCCGTTTTCAATAAGATCGATGTATGATAGTATTTATTGTTGTTCTATTTTACTTTTTTTTGTTCCTTCCAAAGAGTTCCTCATTAATAACAGACACAACAAATTACTAATACAATGTATGCACTGAAGAAGTCGTAAAGTACAAATGATTTAATAACCAATTTCATGAAATCTTATTTGAAATAAATTTTTATAATATTTAGATTTTATCTCATCGCTTTTAAAGGTTGAAAAGCGAGTGATTTATCAATAATTTTTTCTCCTTTATTACGTCTTTATAAAATCATCAAATAATGTTTTAAGGTTAGAAATGGCATGCGGACTTTTTTTAGAAATAAAACTTAGCATTTAAAAAATAAGAAAATAATATTTTTTTATAAATACAAAAAGTTATTTAATAATTTCAAAAAATTGTATTTGTAAAAAATAATAATAAAGAAATAATAAATCATACAATAAAGGAAAAATAAGTTATTGAATATCACTTATTATTGTCCTATCTTCCTAAAATTTCTTTCGTCACAAATTGTTTACTTTACAAAGTGGTATAAAATATGATTTTACACAATACTGTAAACACGAGGGAGCATCAAAATCGTAAGCGTGTACACTTGTAAAGGTTGATATTTTAATTTTTTTATCATTCCTACATTGAAAAACTTTAGGTTCAGTTTCCTACTTCAGAAGTAGTTTCATGAAAAATTTTTCAATGTATTTTCTTGTTATAAAGGATCATTTCTTTCTTCGTATTGAAACCTTTGATTCACAAGAAAATACGGCATAATAATCACTATATTAAAATATAATATAATAACAAAGTATGAAATTTAAATAATTAGCATGAAAATCCACTCTTTTTTTTATAAAAAAACACTATGAAGTTATTAATTTAAAAAAAAGGTTCTTAAAAATATAGAAAGTATTACGTATTCAACACGTACTTTTTAAATGATCACACTAATCAGAAAAATATAAATATGGAATATTTTTTCCGATAGTAGTCATTAAATGTTTCATTTTACAATTATGATTTTTCCAATAAGAATTCATTAAAATTAAAAGCTTACTCACAAAAACATGTTAAATTAATAAACAAAAAATTCCTAAATTAATTAAAACAATTAGAAAATTTAGTTCTAAATTGTAACAAATTTTACATGAATAAAGTAAATTAAGAACAGTTAAATCAATTCTTTTACAATTAATTTAGGAATCAATACATAAATTGAACTAACTTTACATTATGACATTAAATATCGGTTGTTAATTCATTCTTACTTTACAAACAATTCAGTGCGAAACATAAACACTTATAAACAAGTAATTCAGTCTATTCGTTGATAATTTCTACTTATCTTCGCCTTTTACGATCACAATATACAAAATATAAATTTGATTTGTATTTGTAATACATTAATATCACTCACTATTTACAATTGTATTTATATTAGATGTGTCGCAATTAAACCTACAGTAATTAAGGAATCGGATCGAAGAACCGACACTCGTCTTACGTGCAGGTTCACTGCGCAACTGGGATCCATCTTAGGCAGTGGACTTGGGAGAAAGCATAAAGAATCGCTTTTTCGATCCAAATCCTCAATTTATGAAAGATCGCTTTAGGATTGAAATCGATACCACATATTTTTAAAGTAACAACTGTAAGTTCTTTATATATTTTTATACACATATATACATTTTCATAGGTGTACATTTCCATACTTTGTACACACACATACACACAAAAAGCGTAACAGAATTCATCGGTTTTAATTAATGATGATTGAATAATTAATTTTAATATAAATTTTTGTTTCCTAATTACAAAACCCATTATACAATATTTTACTAAAGTCATTCAGTAATATGTTCTACAATGAGGGAATTCAAACGTTAAAATATGGTTGAGAGTTTTTTTTAATTAGTAGTTATTTTTTCTATCGTATACCTGTACTAGATATTCATAAGTGTTCCAATCATACAATTTTGTAAAATATCATTAGAGACATTATTTGACATAATAGTATTGGTGCAAAATCAACAATACTTTATGGCAGTTTTAAGTAGCGCAGCCTCTGTGCTCGAGAGCTTGCAGTCGAGGCAGCAGATTTTAAACTAATAATGAAAGCTAACTATATTAATATAATCTATAATTAATCCATATTAAAAGCAAAAAATCAACTTACTGGGGAGCAAAGGGAAATTATTCCGGATAGAAGGAAATTATATTCACTATCTATTTTTAGTTAAAGTGCTTCTTGTTAGAGGTAAAAATTAATTTCATTTTAATATTTTTATATTTGCAAATGATTTTAGATATAATAATGAATAAATATTAAATAATTTTTAAATTATTTCTTTTACAGTAAACAGATTATATTTTAACGAAATTACTTACAAAATAGGGTATTGAGTTTTAATATTTCAAGTCTTTAATTACATAAATATTTTCAATATGAAAATCGCGTATTTTGGGAAACTTATGTGAAAGATTTGCTGAAAAAAATTATCTTAAAGAAAATAAATTAAAAGATATTCTTCTTAAGTTCCGTAGGATTAATTAAACTTGGAATAACAATTATGTAAAAACATTTTAATAACATATAATTATATTTTGTTGAAGAATTTGATATCCAATTATGGATATAAATCAGCTCGGCAATTTATATTTAAAAATTTACGTTATCTTTTTAAATAAAATGAAAATCTAAAATATTTAAAACTTTGAATTACACATTCCGAAACGATATTTCTTTGTAAATTAATTGATAGGACTGATTTACAGATCTTTTCTTACTTGCCATAAGGTCAATAAACAAGTTTTTAGAATTAATGTTAAGTAAAAAATTCGTAATACCTTAATACTAGATAAAATAAATCTTATAATATAACAAATATATGAAAATCAATCAAGTAAAAAATATTAGATTAGTTTTAAAAGACGTTCCTCATAAAACTTTAGTTTGTACGTTCATAAAATTTCGAATGGTCTTGAACAAAAAAAATACACGGTCATTTTTAGCAATATCTCAAAAACAGGTTAAAAAATTAAAAATTTTAATTTTTGAATTTAAAAAATTTTAAATATTAACTTTTTGGTATCGGCTATTTAATGTTGTTTAAAATATGTAAATATGAGTTTAAAATTATAATTGTAAATTCTATATTGACAGATGTAGTCAGAGGAATTAATAAAATTTCCAAAGAATAAATAATTGTGATCATATTACTATAGTAATATAAATTGCACAAAGAGCATAAAATAACTGAATTTTTTTTTCAAACTTATCAGGTGATATTATAACGTCTTTAAAGAGGGAGAAAATTATCTAAACATTATTAGATTCATCATTTTAAAAAATTCTAAATGATTTTTCTTTACCTTTCTATTTTAATTTTTTAACTAACAATAAGTTACCATGATCCAAAGACCAAGTGTTTTTGATAGTGCTCGCTCTAGATATACTGTCAATTTTTAAATTATTATAATTATTTGTTAGTTTACTTTAAAACTTTTTATAGTTTGGTTTTTGAGAACGCTAAACCACAATTTAACATTGGAATTTTTAAAAATTAATAAATTTTAAGATTTAAAAAGAAAATTGAAACTAGTAATTTTTAATTTCGAAAATTTGCTAAAATAATATTCTATGATTTTTAAAATGGGTCTGTAAAGTCCCTAATTAATAAATTTAAAATTGTAATAATGATAAAATTTATATCTACAGATCGCATTCAAATTATGTATAGAGAAGTTTTTGATGTCGCATTTTGAATTTTTTTTGCTACTATTTGTAAAAAAGAAAAACCTGAAATAGTGAATTAAACATTTAAAAAAATAATTTTATTTTATAAATTTTATAAAATCATTTAATTTTATAATATTTTAGAGTAAAAAATATTCAATATATATAATTGAAAAAAGTATGTAAAAATTTTTATTTATTAACCCCCAAAACGCCCTCTTCTTCTTTTGTAATAGTAATTGTAGGATTAATTCAATTTAATTCAATTAATTTAAAACCAATTTCGTTAAAAATTGTTTACTTCAAAAGCGAAATTCAATTTAATTCATAATCATAAAGTTTACTATTTTAAGTTTTAAATTCGTGTCACTGGTAAGATTGTTTAAAAAAATACAATTTCAATGAATGACAATTTCATTTCATAACATATTAAAGCTCATGAGTACCGAAGTAAAATTAAACTAAAATTTTTCTAGTATTAAAGCTTTAACTACATATGTGCATATTCACATAAATGTAATGGTTGTTTTCTCCGCAAGAGGTCATTAATGCAAAAAAAAGAAGTATATATTAAGAAGTAATATATTATATAACAAAAAATTTTAATTCTTATATATTCAGACCTGAACAATTAGTTTGATTAGATATCATTCAATGAAATTGAATTCCTTTTTAACAAAATCTTAAAATGAAGTATTCAAAAGTTAACAAATGGAAATAAATCAAAACTGATTTTTTTTTATCTTTTTAAGGTTTTTAAACCAGAACCGAATCAGAATTCAGTTTTTTTGTTTTCAACCCTGATTTTCAACAAATTAGCCTTATTGTTTTCTCACACTAACTTTGAATAATTGATTCGAAGACTATATTCGAATGCCCAACGAGTCATTTAATTAAATTTTTATTTTAATTTTCCCGCTTGTGAATACCGATGATATTAAAAAGTTGATAATTACACATGTTCAAATTTTTTCTATGAATTAATTTTGAAGAAAAGAAAAAGAATTTTTATTTTGCAATAGGATTAAATTTCTGTAGTAAAATATTTTTTACTTTTAACTTTTCCTGACTTTCCTAACATTCTAGCCGCTAGACACTACCCTATGAAATATTTTTATGAAGTTATTCATAAAAAAGAAGAAGTTTTTATTAAAATTTTGGTACACATTTGTCATGCTGGCTACGCTACTTTAACATTCTAAAGTTTAATGAAAAATTAAAAATCAGTATCCCTGAAAAAGATTATAAAAGTTAAGTAGAATATAAACAAGTGAAACGATTTCTTGTAAGAAAATCATTACGCAGAAGAATTAACTCTGATAAAAAATTTAGATCACTACAAATCTTAGAATAAAATAATATTTTGTTATTTGGGAGGTAATTGTAGAACGCGCTTCCTGAAATCACGATTCTAAAAATATTTCTGGATCAAAGGGTGAAAAGGGCTGTAAATAATATCGATTTGCCTTCATAGTAATTGTAAGAGTTTTTATACATCCCAATAAGGATGTTCGAAAATTATTATTACTTTCGGATAAAAAAAAACGAAGAACATTTTTCAAAACAAGAAGTTGAAATTCTATGCAGTAAAAAAATAATTTTCCGTTTTTTAAATTAAAAATTTTATAAGTCTTATCATACACTGGGTAGCTTAAGTGAAAATAACATTTTACGACTTTCAAATTTCAAGTATTTCTAATACGTTTCTTTTTTTTTTTACAAAAAAGATCATTTCATTTATACAATAATGCATTAATTGTAAATATTCATCATAAAAGAAACAATTATAAATCAAAAGTAAATAATTATGGAGAAATTATTTTTATATATATATATACAGTGATAATTCTTCAATGAGAGTAAATATTTAAGTTACAGAAAAAACCTGCACTTTTTAGTACAAATATTTACGATTTAAACCTCAAATATCCTTTCCAGTTCTTGGAACTGACTGTTGCCCTGATTGATAAAAAGTTTTGGCTATAAGAAAATGAAGATTTGAAAAACTAAGAAAAATTATATGAATAAATATAATGTAAAATAATGAATGAAAATTATATAAATAAAATTGTTTTTAAAAAGCGTTTGTTGTTCAAAGTTCAACAAATTAATAAAAAGCGCAATTACATTCATTATTCAAAAAAAAATCTCGGAATTCATAAAGCGCTTAAAATACTAATTGTAAATCGCTATTATTAGAAAACAACTTCATTAATTTAGGTAACATATCACGTCTGCATTCACAATTATGTATAATGATTATTACGCTTATTAAAAGTACAATTTGTGCTACAATGAATTCTTCGAATCTAAGGGCAAACTATTTTTATGTTTTACCTTGCGACCTTGTTTCTTAGATGCCTTTCTAGAGATCTTTGTCTCTCTAGTTTCTTGTAAAACTTTGTTAACGCCTAATCTCAAGCGTACAGGAACTTTAGCCTCGAGAGGTGCTTCTTCTGTAAACAAAAATATAACAATTAAAATTTGTTTTCAAATATTGTAATGAATGTTTAATTGTATCGCATCTGCGCTTTTTGGTGGACAGATACTGTAATAATCGTTTATCCCACAAGTTAGGTCAGAATCCGTACTCGATTGGCGCTGCTGCTGTTCGATTTTAGTACTGCGTCTGCACATAATCGAGGTACAATATCTATCCCTCAAAAAGTTCAGATAATGAGTTAAACTTCTCTCAGTGTAAAGAAAAATCATTTTTAAAACCATATAACAAAATTTTGTTCAATTAAGATGTATAGAAGTTATGTGCAAAGTTAAAAAGTAGCGCATTTTTTATTTTTCGAGTTGGGTACACTTGACGAATTTTTACTAATGAACACCTAAGCAAATTCTTTCACTTAGTAGAGTAGAGTGAGGCAAAATCACTCATTTGTTTTTATTTTCATATTGTACGTTTTATAAACTTGGCGTTCGAGGTGAATGATAGTTGACATTCCTCATATGTGTAAAAAGTCTCATGACAAATGACTGTTATTAGTAAAATTGACACTTTTTTAGAAAAATATTAAATAAAATAATTGTTTTTAATGAACAATTGTTCAGCCCTAAAGAAAACTTTAATTCTTAAAATTGATTTACACAAATTAACGAAATTAAATCTGCCGTACGATGTAAAAACTTAGGTAACCGACATTGTTGCTCAGTCTGATTTTAGTGCGTTCTTACTATGTACTGAAATCAGCCTAAGCGACAATGTCGGTTACCTAAGTTTTTACATCGTACGAAAGAAATAATAGTATTTTTAAGTTAGGAATCTTGAATATGTAATGTCTTATATTCGAAATTAAAATTGTCGATTCTGTCCTAATACTTGGGGTAAAATCATTAATTGCATGGGTCGCACAAGACGGCTGTAGATCGAAATCAAGAAGAAATCGGAAGTTGCATCTTGGAAGTAAAATTTAACCAAAGTAACAATCTTTCAAGTCCTTCTTACTTTGGCTCTTCATTGGCTCTATATTCGGAGATACAATTCGAAATTTACAAAATTTGTTATTTTTACCCATTCTACTCTAGACAAAAATAAAGGAAGATTTTAGAGTTCAAATAAACTGGAGCTTCACTTATTTTAACACTGTCAATGTAGATTGTCGCAAACAGTCACATTTATTTTAATTCTGTCAGAAATCTGACGTAATTTGAAGAGGAGATCGTTAATTAAGTGATTAATTTCAATTTAATGAGTAAATTATAATCTTGCGTCATAATTCTATTAAAAATATCCAAAATTTCCTGAATTTTGTTTTTTGGTATGCATGTGATAATATATCATCAACGAATCTATAAAAAAATAAAGGCCTAAATGAAAATATTTCTAGATCATCCATAACGATGTCAGCAAATAATCCAGATATGGAAGAGCCCATGGGGGTACAAATCTGAAGTCAAATTTAACAAATTCTAAATGACGATCCAATATGGAGGCTAGATTTTTATAAAGTTTATGTTTGCATAATGCTCGTTTAAGCCATTTAAGATACCAGGGGGAACGGCATATATCCAGTTCTCTTTGCACAAAGGATTGCAATATGTTCGTCTACCCTTGGTTAAAATCATGAGAGCAAGTATAGCTCTAGGTTACACTGCTGAGGCATGGAAAATAACTAGGGTGGTGTTTATTCCGAAGGCTGGTTGAGGTGGTTATACGGCATCCAAAGACTTCAGACCAATTAGTTTAACCTCCTTCATCCTTAAGACGTTAAAGAAACTAATTGATACATTTATCAGACAGGAATGTCTGATAAATCAACCTCTACATCCAGGACAGCATGCCTATAGAGCAGGCTGTTCTGTAGAAACAGCTCTTAATTCAGCGTTAAGCAGAATAGAGGAAGAGTTAGACTCAGGGGGTTATGCGGTGGGGACTTTCTTAGATATAGAGGGTGCTTTCCCTAACATCTGTATGCACCATAATAAAGCCCTGAAAGCAGAGTATGGAGAGGCAAAGATAAATGGCCTAATTATCTTTAGGTAATTACACCACGGTTTGGCAATCGGAGGTCAGCGCTGTAATGACTTGCGCAATGATTTGTCTTGAAAAAGGAAAATCAGGCAAAAGAATTAATATCTGTGTCGATAGTCAGGCGGCTTTAAACGCCTTGAGTAATCTGACTGTAGAATCAAAACTAGTTTGGAAATGCCGGAAGGTATTGGACGAGCTAGGTTTGAAAAATAAGCTATCATTAATCTGGGTACCAGGACGCTCGGGAATCAGAGGAAATGAAGAAGCGGATTTCTCATCCCGTAGAGGGTCTGAGATGAATATGGTAGGCCCGGAACCGGCTGTAGGCATTATACCAGGCGCGGTGAAAGATGCCATGAAAAGATGGTCTAGGGGATGTCATGAGAGAGAGTGGGCAGTGACTACTGTAGGTAGACAGGGCAAGGTTTTGTTGGGATTAAAACTCAACAGGGACTTTGCCGAGTCCCTTCAGAAACTCAACAAGATCAGAGTTAGAGCAGTGGTTAGACTGATCACAAGACATGGCCTCCTAAACTATCATCAGCACAAAATTGGTAGAAACGTCTCACCTAGGTGCAGATTGTGTGATGCAGAAGAGGAATCCTCGACTCATATTTTATGTCACTGTCCAGCTTATGCTGCAGTGAGACGTCAATGCTATGGTCATGCCTTTGTAGACCCAGATTGGATTCGTAACCTCTCGGTAGGAGAGTTACTGGACTTTTGGAATAGGACAGGACTTTCGGAAGGCGGACTGGGTTCGAGCTTGCCAGGGTAAGGTGCAATGGATCTTGCGACTAAAGTTTCAACACTCGTACTAGGGGACTTTGGTATAAGCTCGTTTTAGATTAGATGTTTGCATAAAATTTGGTATAAGAGAGCTTTTCCGTTAGCTGATTATGAATCTAAAGTCAAGTTGAAAAAATAAAAAATGGAGGTTTCAATATGATGAATAAATGTTTAAAAAATTGACGTAATATTTAGTTTGTATTAATTAAAAATGTATTACGTACATTCTTCATGAAATCATTATTTTAAACATAATAATAAATTTTTTGTCAGACATATGAAATCCGCTATAAGTGAAAGATACCAAATGAGGACTGACTGAACTCCTTTAGTATTTCTATATTTGTGCGACCAAATTCTAAACTAATGTGAACTGATTACAAATTAAATTATCCTGAAACAAGTAAGGAATTTTAACCAGTAGAACTAGATTCAGGCTTTTATTATAACTTTATAAATACCAAAGTTTTTATTGTTTTATTGTTAAATTGCTGAAACAGTGCCGGTTGAAAATTATTTATAAGCATATTTTAATACTACGTGAAAATTATTCATAAGTAGTAGTTATTCATACAAGTTTGAAATTCAATGTTAGTATTTCATTTTTAACAATTTATAACATAAGCCCTGGGTTAGTTCACATCCTAATATTTTAAACATGTGTTTATCAAACAATAAAAATTAAATGTACCTTCAGAGTCTTGGAAATCACTGATCGTTCGATGCAACACAGTTACTCGCCTCACTTCTTTTTGAGCTGCTATAAATATAAAACATTGAATGTAAAATTTTTAATTTTAAAAAAATCAGCAGGTATTCTAAAGTGCTACCACGATACACAATATATAGATAATATACATATGTACAATTAGTAAACCACTGCGGTTTTGCTGAATTTATTTAATTGAAATGATATTCAATATTAATTAAAACTTTAATACATTACTCCTGTTTATAAATATTCTCTATCATTATAGTTAAGCAGTTGATGTGAAATACATTTTTGTAATAACCAGGGTGGGATGTTTGTAATGATATATCAGGAACCCGTTAAAATTTTTTAACTTTCTTGGATTTTAATTAAAGGTAAGGTTTCAGTGGAGATGTAGCGTAATATTCAGATTTTTTCTACAATTTTTTTAGATTATGCAGTTAGTCAGACATTGTACATTTTCTACCGGAGCGCTAGTGTCGCTGCAGTTGGAAGAAGCAGAAACGAGAAACTCGAAGAGTGGGGCGGAACTTGTGAAAAGTTCCCCCACCACAATAACACAGCGTTACGTTTCTGTATACGTGAGCTTCGTCTACTTCGTGCATCTTCGGATATCGGCCGGTTATTCAGAGTAATTGTTTTGATACTTTCAAAAGTTTCATCACCTTTCTTTTGCAGGAAAAACAATGATTTTATAGAACAATGGCCGGCATGACTAGGGCACCTAGACCCCCATAGTCAGGCCAACTGTGGCTGCCATAGTTGGGCCAACTATGAGGGACAATGGTCGGCATAACTTGGGCAGTCACAGTTGGGCCGATTATCTGGCTTGACGGTCGGCTGCCACAGTTGGGCCAACCTTGGTTGCCCTAGTTGGTCCGACTATGGGATCGTCGGTTGACATGACTTGTGATTTAGCAATCACAGTTGTGATATACTTTAAACAAAATGGTGATTAATAAAATTGTGGCAGCCAAAATATTAAAAAACCCACTTGTTAATGGTCGGCTAAATTTCTTTGAAGATGCAATTTATGAGACTAATTTTTCCTTAGACTCTCATGTAAGCGTAGGGTAATGGATTGTTTGAGCTAGAGTATACACAAATTCAAAAAATTTTGTTTCAAGAAAAAATCGTTTAAAAAAAACTGAAAACAACAACACAGAAAATTATAAGGTATTAAAATAAGCTGCAACGCTTATTATTTTAATCCAATTTTGCTTATTTTAATACCAACATGGATTAAAATAAGCAAAATTGGATTAAAATAATAAGCGTTGCAGCTTATTTTAATGCCTTTTAATTTTCTGTGCAGTCAAACATACAAAAATGATGAAAAAATAAAATTCGAAATTTTTGAAAAATGCTATCTTGTAGGAAATGAAAAGGCGCATCTTTTTTTCCTCTGGATTTTTCTCGTCAAATGAATAGTTTAATTAATAAATGTAAAAAACTAATAAATTTTTATTTCCAAATTTCATTCAAATTTTAAACATAAATCATCGTATCTTCGACAAATATTAATCAATTCCAATGAGATTTTGCATACTTCCGCGTTTGGGTCCATAGATGACGATAGTCTAACAAAAATGTTGAAATTTTTTCAATTGTTGACCAATTTTTAATTATAAACAAATACCTGTCCAGTGAGACATTTGTGTATTAGGATATAATGAAGTTTTCTGTAAAGTTTCAAGTAGATTAATTCAATAGTTTAAAAAATATTGAATTTTTAAGATTGCGCGTGTGGCGCGCCAACGAGTAGGCAAGTGAATAGAATCGCTGAGCAGTTCATTACATGAAAAATTACCACTTTCTCACATCTTTTTTCTCTTAATTTCATCAGTATTATATATAAATTGTTTTAAATTAGGTTAAACAATTGAATTTATTGCTACTGGGTTAAATTTATTTTATGTTAATGTGTTAAAAACATACGAATAAAATAATAATTTCAAAATTATATGAAAATTTTTGCAAAAATTATTAAGATATTTTTTAAATAATGTGTTATGTGTAAAATTTTGCAATTAGCTAATTTTTTAAATAATTTTTTTAAGTACATTTTATAATTTTAATTTTATCAGTTGAATTCGGAATTTATATTGTCTATTTAAAATTTTCTATTTACAAGTTATTGTTCATAGTTTGTAATTGTTTTGTTGTTGATGTTATTCATCGATTGTCAAATTTTCAATTGTTATTGTAATCCGCTAATTTCTGTAGTATGGAATAAAGTTTCTAGAAGAAAACTTCATTAATTTTTATAATTCGTTTATTTTTAACGTACAAAAAATGGATAATTCTGTACTTGGAAAAAAGTGCTAATGTGACCAAAGGTCGAAAGCGCAAAAGAGATGAAAGTTCGTGGATAATAAGTGTGAATAAGAGAAAAAGAAATGAGGTACGATATATTATTATTCAATTATACTGTTTTTTATTGTTAAATACCTATATTTCACATGAAAACTGTATTCTATTGAACCAAATTTTAATTGAATTAATTATTAATCTTCTTTATGAAATTATATTAGTTTTATTATTAAATATATTAACTTATAAGTTTTGAACATGAAATTGTTTTATATTGTAGGGACTAGAATATATTTCAACAGCTGGAAATCTAATTTCAAAAAAACAGTTTAAATCTGTTAAAATATGTTGCAAAAAATAATGTTTTTCTGATATTGACGTATCAGTACAAAAAGAAGCATTCTTTAAATTTTACAAATATGGTGATTATAATGTTCAAAATTTAATTCTCATTGGACTTATGTCAGCTCTAAACTCTGAAACTGAGGAAAAAAAGAGAATTGTTTGGACATATTATTATCGCTCTTTGTCTCAGAATAACGTTGTATGTCAACAGTTTTTATGTAATATGTCTCAAATAAAAAAAGGAAGATTTGCCACGTTACAAAGAAAACTTTTAAATAATGAGGACCATCACGATCAACGGGGAAAACACCATAACCATGACATTCTGTTAACAGAAGAAATAAAAAATTTAATAAAGCAACATTGCAATTCTATCCCACATTCGGAATTACATTACAGACGTGAAAGAACTTCATTACAATATTTTTAAAATTCGGAATTAAATTTAAAAAAATTATATTTATTGTTCTTAGACTATTATGCGGCAGTCACGGGAAATAAAAACCCACGAATTACTGAGAGTACATACTACAAATATTTTAATCAGAACATTAATTTCACATTTTCAAAACCACGAACAGATGTATGCAACACGTGTTTTGAATTCGAACAAAGTAGCTTGCAAATAAGTGATGATATTAAAAATCACAAAACCAGAGTAACTGACCACAAACAATTAAAAGAAAATATTTTAAAACAAAAAAAAGTATTATGCCTTGAATTTGATTTTGGACAGAATTTATCGCTTCCAAAGATACCAGTAAATGACCAATTTTATAAGAGAGAGATTAATTTGGTTGAATGTCTTTAATGTACATGTTTTTGGTAATCACAAGCGCAGCTACATGTATTTTTTCACAGAAGGAAATTTTAAAAAGGGATGTAATACAGTATGTAATTTGATTTGGGATGCAATTAAAAAAGAATTCACAATAGATTATTATGATAAAATTTTTTTATTTTCTGATAATTGTCCAGGTCAAAACAAAAGTTATTTACTTTTGTCCTTTTTATCATTACTTTCTGCAAAATTACAAGTCGAAATTGAACATGTTTACCCTGTTCGTGGTAACTCGTATTGTTCTTGTGATAGAAATTTTGGTATGTATGGAGCAAAGAAGAAAAAAACCGAAATTATTGAGACTGAAGAAGAATATGTCGAACTAATAAAGACTGCACGCAATCCTCCGTTCATAACATTACGCGAATCGGAATATACTGTCAAAAATTTTGAACCATTCTTTGATAAAGAGTCAAAAAACGTATAAGAGGTTAAGATTAGCACAGCCGTTCGAATTATTTATTTCCCAAACAGTGAAATAAGCGTATTCGATGATTATAAAAAAGAACCCAGGAATTATAAAATTAAGCATTCACTAAAATTTGATTATTTAATGAATAATTCAAAACTCGCGCCAGCTATAGGAATAAATAAAAACAAAAAAGAAGATGTTTTATCATTAACTCGCTATTTGAGCGATAAAGCTTCTTCAAGAAACTTTTTTCAAAACTGCCTACGAAAAAAAATTTTCAAAAAGAGTAAAACTGTTTATTTACTTTATATTTGTATAAAATGTTACAAAGAAATGTTGAATTTTTTGTTTTTAACGAAGTGTTGATAATTATGTATATTTCAAAAAACTGTTGTTAAAAAATTATTTCATTTTAACAATGTTATTTATCCTTGTTGAAAAAATCGTTTATTATAATAACGTTGACTTTTTTAAAATAACTTTTTTCAATTATTCTACTTCTATTATCTCCTTAAATAAGTTTACAAAATGTTGTAAGGAAAGGATTTCTTTTAAGAGCTGATGTCAAAACTGCTGTAATAGAAAATTTAACACATTTTATCGACAATTTTATTTTGCGACCAATATTGAAAAATGTGAAAATCATGTAATGAACTGCTCAGCGATTCTATTCACTTGCCTACTCGTTGGCGCGCCACACGCGCAATCTTAAAAATTCAATATTTTTTAAACTATTGAATTAATCTACTTGAAACTTTACAGAAAACTTCATTATATCCTAATACACAAATGTCTCACTGGACAGGTATTTGTTTATAATTAAAAATTGGTCAACAATTGAAAAAATTTCAACATTTTTGTTAGACTATCGTCATCTATGGACCCAAACGCGGAAGTATGCAAAATCTCATTGGAATTGATTAATATTTGTCGAAGATACGATGATTTATGTTTAAAATTTGAATGAAATTTGGAAATAAAAATTTATTAGTTTTTTACATTTATTAATTAAACTATTCATTTGACGAGAAAAATCCAGAGGAAAAAAAGATGCGCCTTTTCATTTCCTACAAGATAGCATTTTTCAAAAATTTCGAATTTTATTTTTTCATCATTTTTGTATGTTTGACTGCACAG